GACTCTAGAACTTGCTTTGTTTCTTGCTTGAATTGGTATATGATATATTCTATGGATATGATTGAGGCATGTTCTTTCTTTAAACTAGATGGCCAAATAGCCAACCATTGCTAACATTCCTTAGTTAAACCCTTTTGAGCCTAAGCCTGTTTATTCTTTGAAAACCTATGAAGATGAATAAGTCACTTTCCATATAAATCTTCACCTTATTTGAGATTAACTTTCAGATTTGAATTGAGGAACAGATGATAATTAATTGATTACATAAATTGTGATGTATGGGAGTATAGGGAGAAAGAAAAAAGCTAAGGAAGTAAGGTTGGGTAGAATGAAAAAAGGAACAAAGAAAAGGAAAATTACTCAAAAAGAGAAAAAAAGAAAAGAAGTGAAAAGAAAGAAGCAAATTGTTCTGAGAAAAAAGAACGACAAACAACAGAAAAGTTCAAAGGAAAGAGAAGAAAAATGAACTGAAAAGAAAAAGAAAGTTGTTTACAAATTGTTAAATGATTGCACCTATTCCTCTTTGAATCTGAATTTTAATCTTGGAACTCATTCTCTAAATTTTTCCTTCCTTCAACTAGGCCAAGTTATAACCCTAATCAAGACCTCTTGATCTGTTGGATATGTCACAATAACTGTGGAGAGCGAGAATATAAGCAAGCATATGGTAGTGTTGATTCAGTGGGATATGAGTGAAACACCAACCCTTTTAACAATTGAGTGTGAGTGAATTGAATTCCTAGTGAGGGAGTGTTTCAGGAAATTTTCCTTATTCTTGATCTTAAGAAATTTTGTTGCAGCTTTTAACTTGTGAATTATGAATTTTACTGATTGATTTATCATTCCTTAGATTCTGAATGCTCTATAATCATGTCTCTGATTAAGTCCTTCTTGTCAAATTCTATGCAATTGAGGATTCCTACTCCCTATTCCCTTAGTTTTATTCTGATTGATTGTTGAGGACAACAATATTCAAATCTGAGAATGTTTGATAAACCCTTGGTTTACCATGTTTTTAGGCTAAATTATACAAGAACCATACGGTAGATTGCATGGAATTCAAGGTGTTATATGATAAAATCATAAAGATTTGAAAATTGATCTAATGTTTTGATATCTTGCTCATTTTGAAGGTAAATCCACAAGATTTGGTGCTAAGAAATGATAAAGGAATCATAACAAAGATTTGAAGATCAATGTGTTAGCCCAATCTGCAGGATCTTAAATAAAAACAAAAATAAATCAAGATTTGATTAGGAATTGATAGAGATTTATGGGGATATTTGATGAGGAATTAAAAGATATGGCTTCAAAGGTTATAAATAGGGAGCTCAGGGTCAAGGAACTCATTCACAGACACACAACAGGAAATACACAGAGACCCAGAGGAAGAATCCTGTTGCGGAGCGTTGGAGCACTGGGGAGCCAAGTCAACATCACACCAATGGAGGCTTGGGAAACTATTTTCTTTCTTATTGCTTTTCAATTCAGTATGCTAGGCTAGACTTTTATGTAGTTAGGGGTAGATGGAACCCAATTGAATCTTATGCTTTGAATTAAATTGTCTATGAATTCTTTTCTTTTTATAATTGAATAAATTTATCTTTCTTTAATGCTTTCTATGAGTTTGGTCCTTGTAGGTTAATTTAGGGGAATTATATGACAATAGGAATGTTGGTGCATGAACCCTGATTTGATAAATTTATCACAATTCTTGTGATTTAGGGATAGACATAGGGCAATTGTGCAATCTTTAAATTCTTGATCTTAATGCATGTTTTCTTGGGAAATAATCGGGGAACTAGGGTTCTTCTGAGATCACATAGATTTAAGGTAACAAGAAATTGAGCCCTAATTAACTTAGGAAGAATTGATTAGCAATATTTTAAGAACGAATTCTTGACAATTTAATCCATAGCTTATAGAGGAGATTGGGGGAAGTCGAAACCCTAACTACGCTTGTTTTTAAATCTTTAAATCAATCATCTTTCCAATTTCTTTTTAATTCTGAATTTTAATTTGCATGTTATTAATTGTTCTCAATCTCAATTCTCTTCATCTAAATATTGATTGTCCAACTAAATCGTGATTAGCGAACTAGTGCTTGAAAACCAATCCTCGTGAGAACGATCTCGTATTCAGTACACTTTTATTACTTTTACGACCAGTGCACTTGCCGAAGTCGTAACACTTACATTTTTGCTATCTTTATTTTATGAGCATTGTTGACTGTGAACTGATTTTGAGACTTATTTTGGATGTTGAGATTTGGATGAGTTTAGATTGAATCTAAAAATCTAAATATTTATTTTGGTGTGTTGGTCTCAGAACAGATTCATGATAATGATGATTTATTTATTTAGACTGAAAATGATGATTGAGTTTAATATTTGACCGTTTAAACTCTTTGATTGATCCGAGTTAATTGTCTTGGACTGGATGTGAATGATTCATATTTGTTTGAACCTTACATTAATCACTTTATTGGATTGTGTTGTATGATGAACATAGGAGGAAATTGTTGGATATGTTAATAATATAATCTAATATTATGTTCACATACAAGCCCAATAGGTGGAAGCATGATTATTTGGGTTCATATGGGCTGGAGCCCAATAACTTGCATTATCTCTAGGATTTCTTAAGCTGGGGGTAACACTGGTGAGCATTTCAAACTTGATGTCTCTTGGTGTAATACTTCAAGCACGTCTAAATCTTTCTCTCTCAAACTCATTACCTCCGGCAAGAATGGCATTGAAAAACCTCGTAGATGGAATCCATGATCCTTTAGGGTGTGTTTGGTACAAGAGAAATTTTTTGATGACCGAGAATCATGATTAATGGGAATTCAGTAGAAATTGAGTTTACTTGGAATCTTACGAAAGAGGTGTTTGGTTCGCCAAAATATTACCGGAAATATTGGGTAAAAATTACTGATTCCATATTTGGTTTAGAACGAAATATGACTTGGAATATGAGATTATTTTACAAAAATAACCCCAAACTATTTTTACTTTTGTAATTGATAGATTGGGTCTAGATTTTTATGTGTATTGGGGTATTTTTGTCTCAAAATTTATTATTGTGTTTTCCCTTTACTTGGTATTCTGATTGGTATTCCGAATTACCATATTATTTTTGGTAATCTGAATAGTGACTTTTCTTTATAAATCAAATTACCGGTAATCCTTGGATACCCGGGAATCGTAATTTATTTCTTCTACCAAACGTGGTAATTACATTTACCAAGGAAGGATTACCGGTAATCCTCTTCAAAAACTTGAAACAAACACCCCCTTAGGGATTTTGTTCAATTTGGCCTATGCTTTATCAGTTACCCTTTTCACCCTTACCATAGAAGCATTAAATCGTTTCACTATAGTAGCTTTAGCATAAGCCCAATCTAAATCCCCCAGCTGTTTTTCCTTCCACGACTTAGTGAAATTCTTCCATAAATTCATTACATAAAATCTATAATGTGCTCCAGCCATTTCTTCTTGCATAGTAAGTATCAAACCATGAAACAAGCATTAAGAAAATATATAAACAAAAGGGAGAGGTTATAGTTATTACCTCTTTTTCTTATTATTTCTTACTATCAAATCTTAACCATTGATTTCCGTTAATTTAATGATTATAATTTATTGGAAATTAATAATTAATTAATAAGTATGACTCAATAAATTACAACCATTAGATTGACGGAAATCAATAAATAAGATTTATTAATAAGAGATAATAAAAAAAAATACAGTAAGTATAACCTCCTCATAAATCAATAAGTGGTATACAATTTCCAACATTGAATGGTATATTGTTGGCATCTTGCCCAATGCAAATAGTAGTAGGCTTCCTTAATCTCCAAGGAAACACCCATCTAAACTAATTAGTGGCATACACTTTGTCTTGTAGCCTCCTTTGCAGGCATCAAATTCCAGTTTCAATTAGTCAAATGCATTTCTGTCTACTTTTATATATTAAATCAGAGTACACATGTGATTTTATATTTAATGTACTTTCGTTAAATTTTAAATTTAAATTCTTTTGATTAATTATTTATATCTTTTGGGGTATGTCATATTGCCCTTCGGTTTAATCTTTTTACCTATATCTAGATCAATGATTTTCATGTATGGTGGATCCACTTCTTTATTATTTTTTTCTCTTGGTTAAAAAGAGATAATATTTTATTGAAAAAGATAGAATTAACTAATGAGAAGAAGGGAGAACTTTTAATCGAAGAGAATGAAAAGAAAAGAGACTTCCTCCATGTTTTTATAGTTTTAGTTTTCTCTTGTAATATATATATTTAGATTGTATATGAATATAAAAATGAAATATTTTTCCAGTTAATTAAAGTCAACTTATCAGAGAGCGGTAATTTTATATCAAAAATCATTTTCTCATTTTAAATATAAATTAACTTTTTGTTAGACGATATGTAAAATTGTAGTTTAAATGTGTTGATATTTGCCAGAGTTTAAATTTAGTTTTTTAGGCTGAATGTCATCAGAAATGCGTTTGTATTTCCTTCCGTAAAAAATATGATCGAAAGTTAAGCAATGAAAATCGTGCCCTCGAAAAATTAGAAATTAAAAAAAGAGAAAGAAGTGTTATAAAAAGAAATCTTCATCTTCATCTGGTTTGTCAGTTGAAAAGCTAAAGGTAACGCGCAAACTACCATCATATCATGAATCCCTTGTTGATCAAGGAACCGAATTTTAAACATCTTTTTCGTCATCCTTTCAATTCCATTCATACTTTTGTTATACTGCATATAACATTCCCTATAATAATAGTATAGTAAAATTTCAAAATAAAAGTGCAAAATTCGATTTCAAATATTGTAGCATATGCTTATTTTTATCAACAGGTTGAGAATTACACAACCTTACAGATACCATTATAAGATCATTGCAATTATACAACGAAATGCACTATTAAATTTTGCCTAGGGGAGCGCATATATACTGTAGTGTATACACTCCACTGGATCACTTCTATGCGTATTTGCAGCTACCATAACCTGCAATTTAAAATGAGAAAAAGTAAGCACATTTAGCACTGCATATTATAAGTCATATAAAACTTGTAAATTGGTTTTACAACAAAATGAGTAATGTGACTTACTAGGATCTGTCATAACAACAACGGAAGAGCCTTTGAAATCACAATTCCAGTGGTTTCTTCCCCTAGACTGATAATAGAGATTCATGGCTATGGAGGCATGGTTCATGAGATTGTCAGGGGAAAAGCAAGGGCCCCCTGTTTGCAGAACCTTGCAATCAACTTGAGAGCATGCATAATTGACGTTGGTTAAAAGGGTAGCTTGGTCTGATGAAGGCTTTGCCACACACCATGTTTTCTGTTATTCCATAACATAAAACATTACAATTTCATTAAGAAGATTATATGGTTTCTTTTTTTTAAGGCATTTTCAGGAATTTGGTTATAGTTACCTGCCCATTAACCATTATCAGATTCCCTCCTGCATATGTCAAAAGAGAAGGAAAAAAAGAAAGAAGAAAATTTCAATTATACAACAATGCTTGATATATATGAACTAGGAATTTCAAATTTTGCAAATGAAAATGTTAGAATTAAGAAAACCCAGTTTAGATCTGAAAGCTATAGTGAGGAAACTCTTAAAAATGGAACATTTTGTGTGACCAAGTTTTTCATTGGAAGCTACAACACAGTTTACATTGGCTATGTAAACCAAATCAAATAAAAACAAAAAAAAAATTAGACCAATGTTGATGACTTCTAATTATACATTGAACAACAACTCAAATTGTGACAACAAAAGGTGGAAAAGAAAATAATGCATGGAGCAAAAACAACTGACACAAACCTGATGTGAGAGAGAAGAACATAAGGAAAAGGAGAACAACTACTTTAGCCATGGTTGTTATGCTGCTTGTACTAGGTACTACTGCTGTCTAAAGCTAAATGAAGAGAGAGCTAATGTGAGTGAGTTTGTGAACGTGGGTGGGTCTAAAGAGTGGAAAGATATGACCTTTTTAAAGGGAAAATGGGGTGGGTGAAAAGCCTAAGGTAAGGTTAGAATAACGGCTACTTTTAACAGCAAATAAAAATTACATAAGACGTTGAGCCTTTGACATTGGGTGGGGACTTTCATGTGTGGAGAAAAAAGGTTACTGTAAAAAAATGGTAGATGCACGTGATATGCGAGTTGTACTTGTGAATTGTGACCTATGATTAATTCATAGTGTGGTGTCTTCTGGCTTCTTGCTTTCTCATTGGATAATGGATATATACTATAATACTACCCCACTGCTCAGCACGTTGTGAGGAAACAATGACCCCACTATTATTTCCATACTATGGAGAGTGCGGTCCATTTTACGTTTTCATTTTTTTTTCCCCAGCATGGTAATTGCAACTATTTTACTACTATTGTTATTACGGGCTTATCATAATCTTCTTGATTTGTTAATCCTAATAAATTGTTTTGTTTATTTTTCTATTAAGAATTCAGCAGAGTGTCTATGCTAGTTTGAAATACGAGGAAGGTTATATAGATAATTTTCTTTTCTTCTTTTAAAAAAAACTTACAAACTAAATTTATAAATTGTAAAATATAATATAGTTTATAACAATTTGTAAATATAATATTTCCCTTGAAATATTGGGTGAGATTTTTTCAGCCTGTAGCAATCTACTATTGTATATTCAATTTTGAAAAAATTACATTTCTTTTTTATTTTAAACAAATATAGTTTTTCTTAAGAGATAAATATATATATTGTAATATAGGGAAAAGTGTGTGTCGTTTTAAAAGATATAAAATTGTATCGTTTTAAGGGAGAGAGAGATAGATAAAGGAGGAAAAAGATTTGATAAAAAAAATAAAAGTGTGGGTCTCACCTCTTTGTGAGAGTGAAAGGATATAAGTTGTGTCATTTAAAAGGATAAATATTTTTCCTTTAATATATAGGTTTGCGTTTTCTACGGTCAATGTAGATAACTTATCTACATTAAAACTAAAACGACATCGTTTTGAGGCGGAAAACAAGGTATTTTTATAATTATAATTTATTTCTGGATTGTAATAATTTTTTTCATTATAATTTTTTAATTTTTCAACACAAAATGACGTCATTTTAGCAGTAAATGTAAATAATTCACTTTAAAAATATTAAATTCTTAATATGTTCCAATATAAATGAAATTTGTAATGATATTGACTATGATGGCATTTGTACGGGCTTTTTATCTAAAAAAAGTTACTTTTCTTAAAAAAAAAAAAAAAACCTTTCGAGCCATTTCATGCATTTGGATAGCAACTTTTGAAAAAAAAAAGAATTAAAAGAATTAAATAATGCTTTAATTAGAAGTCAGAATTCATTGTTTTTTGAAAAAACTAAAAGCCAAAAGTTAAATAAATTTTGGGTAAAGAATTTTTCCGATGATAAATTATGTCCAATGAATTTAAAATGACGTTGTTTTGTGAGAAAAATTATGGTATTTTTATAATTATAATTTACTGCAGAGTTATATTAGTCTTTATCATTATAAGTTTTTTAATCTTACAACCCAAAACGACGTCGTTTTGAGCTCACTGAAAATTACTTTATCTCTAGTAACTGAAAAATATTTTTTCTATAAATTTTTAAAAATTTAATTTTATCATAACCCCGCTCCAACTACTCTCCTCCACTACCACTATTATCCAAATAAAGTGTTTATTATTTTTAATATCCAAATATTTTTTTATTTAAAAGTATTTTTTATGGATTTAAATTTTATAAAATTACTTTACATAACTTTAATTAATGTTCATCAAAATATACACACAAAGTGGGGTCCATATTGACCAATGTGAATAGAAGAGGGAGAAAAAAAAGGGCATCACACAATTTTATGTGTGTATTTTGGTGAAAATAGATAAATTTATCTATATTAACTTTTGAAACTTTAAAACCATTTTTTATATATTTTATTCAAACTTAACATAGTTTTAACAATTTAAAAAAAAAATACTTGTCATTTTAAATGAATCAACTTTGTGTCATTTTTAATGAAACTACGTTATTTTTGTGGGTTTTTAGTATTATTTTTTTACATTTTTCTTTTTTATAAAATTAGAAAGAAAAACAAAGTGGAGGAAAGAGAATGCAAAAATACATCAAAACAACGTAATTTTATTTGTAATTTTCACAACAGGAGAAAAAATCTCCTCAAAATCAACTCATTTCTTCTGATTGCAGCATTTCACCACAATCCGGGCTTTGTATATCGACTTCTAGTCGTTCTCTTCATTCTTGATTTTGTAAAACCACTTGTTCTTCAGAGCTCGTCTTCTTTAAGGAAACTCAGTCAGTTCATATGTCTGATTCTCGTGTAGAGTCTTCATCTCATCATGTATTGCCTTCTCCCATTTTTCTTTGTCTAAGCTCGTCATTGCCTCATCATAACTCTGAGGCTCATCGTCTTCAGCAACAACGGTATATTCATCAGATGGGTACCTTGTAGAGGGTCATCTTTCTCGAGTTGGATATCTAGGCTGTTCTTCAGCTTGAGAACCCGGTTCATCATTCTTATCCCAGATCTCATCATTATTTTGGACCTCAGTATTTTAGTCCTCATCAGCTTGTTGCTGGTCATCAATTTCTTCATTATTTTCTTGATTTTCTCCCCCTACTACAACTTGGATAAGAAGGATGGGTTCTTCACGTCTTACAGTAACTCGAACTTTGGATTTCAAGATGTCTTGAATAGTCTCGTTCTCAAGAAAGACAACATCTCGACTTCTCACTACCTTCTTATGGATTGGATCCCAAAGTCGAAACCCAAACTTACATCTCAGCAAACCGAGGTAAATGCATTCTTTAGTCTTCGCATTGAGTTTTGCTCTTTCATCTTTAGGAATATGCACGAAAGCTCGGCATCCAAATACTTTCAATTGATCATAAGCCGCTTTACGACCTGTCAGAACTTCTTCTGGAATTTCTCCTTCTAGTGACCGTGATGGTGAGAGGTTGATCAAGTCAACAACAGTTCTGACAACTTCTTCCTAGAATGATTTCAGCAATCCGACATTAGATATCAGGCTTCGGACCTTCTCTTCAATAGTTCTGTTTATTCTTTTAGCAAGTCTATTCAGCTGAGGAGTCTTGGGGGGTGTCTTCTTAAATCGGATCTTGGCCGCTCTACAATTTGCATCAAATGGGCCGCAATACTCACCACCATTATCAGATCAGACCACCTTCAATTTCTTGCCAATCTCCCTTTCAACCATTGCATGGAATTCTTTAAAGGATTCGAATACCTGGTCTTTAGACTTCAATAAATAAACCCACACTTTGCGTGAGTGGTCATCAATGAATGAAACAAAGTACTGAGATCCTCCAAGGGATCTCTCCTACATGGAGCAAACATCAGTATGGACAAGGTTAAGAATATACATGCGTCTTCTAGGTTGATCCGATTTCAAGAAAGAAACTAGGTGCTGCTTTCCAGCAAGGCAGTGCGTACAACTCTCCAACACTCGACCTTTTAACCCGGTCACTAATCCTTTCTCGTTTAGGATTTGGAGCCCTTTCTCACTTATATGGCTGAGACACTTGTGCCATAGCTTTAAGCTAGGTCCATCTCGGACAGAATTTGTTTCTCCGTCATTGATCTTTCCTTACATCACGTACAAGGAGCCTTGCTTCTTACTTCGGGCAACAACCAAGTTTCCCTTGGCCAGCTTCTGTCTACCACTACCGAAGTAGTTCACTAACCCGACATTGTCAAGCTTGTGTATCGAGATTATGTTCAGTTGCATGTTAGGCACATGCCTTACATCTTTCAACCCAAGTCGGCATCCGACATCTGTAGTCAGAGTTACATAACCGACACCAATAATTTTGCTGGTCACTTGATTTCCTATCTTCACTACTCCAAAATCACCACCTCGGTAAGAAAAAAAAACCTTTTCATGGAGTAATATGGAAGGAGGTACCAGAGTCAACAATCCAGGTGCAGTCATCATATGCAACATTCAAATAATTATCCTCACCAAGGAGGAATATCTCGACATCCTAGTTGACAGCTACCGCAGTGGTGCTTTTGTCTTCTTTCTTCTTTGGAATAATCTGATTCGGCTTCACTATGTCATTATTCTCATCTTTCTGCATAGTCCTGCAGTCTGGCTTTTTATGACCGACCTTTCCACAATAGAAGCATTTCAACTCATATTTTGGCCTAGACCGGCCTTTGGACTTGTCACGACCTCGACTCTTGCAACGACCCCGGGCGTCGGACCTTCCTCTATTCTCGGTCACGTTTGCCTCAGATGTGCTGGTTACACCTCGTTCCTTTCTCCTGGACTCTTCATTTAGGAGACTGTCTGTCATGGCATCCATCTTCAATTTTTCTTCTGGAATCGAATTACTCAAAGTCACCAATAAAGTATCCCAGCTTTCTGGCAATGAGCTCAACAGTAGCAAAGCTTGTATCTCGTCATCAATTTCCATCTCGGCTTTTGACAACTAATTCACAATCCCTTTGTAGGTGTTGAGGTGTTCAAATGTTCATGTCATCCTTGTATTCCAGCTTCACAAGTAGGCGAACCAGGTGTGCTTTGTTCCTGGGAGTCTTCTTTTGAATCATGGACTCCAATTTATTCCACAATTCATATGCGTTCGTGAACTCGGACACGTGCTCAAAGAGGCTTTTGTCTATGTATTTCTTGATTGTAGCTACCGCCTTACGACTCAGGATCTCCCACTCCTTTTTGGTTTTGCCTGTCGGTATCTCATCAAGGATAATGGGATCATGTAAATCTTTGCAGTAGAGACGATCTTCCATCATTAGTCTCCAATAAGTGAAATTGTCCACGGTCAGCTTGAAAATATCTCTGTCATGTGTTACGCCACTGGTCTCCATCTCATCTCCTTCAGAACTCGTCCTACCCGGGCTCTAATACCACCGTTGGGAACTCAGTTCCCTCTATCTCAGTTTGGACAAGTCATTCCCTCAACTCGGCTTCTACAACCTTCTTGCGAAAGTCAATCAACAAGATCCTGGATCTCAGATCTCGACAAACTGAAACTCGGCTTGAACTTCACCAGGTCGGCCTTTGCGCAGCAGAAGCAGAAAATACAAAGAAGATACGAAGGAGAGAGATACAAAATTCACACACAAATATGTTTAACGTGGAAAAATCTTCATTAATATGAAGAAGTAAAAAATCATGGAACCTAGTCCAGACAAACTCTACTATGATAATAATGGGTACAAAGAATTAAGTTTCACCAAAGTGGTGGTTCACTCAACCTCTCCAACAATGGTGGTATTCAAACTTCTCTAGATATGTTTCACTCAAACTCTCTTTAGAAGTCTCTCAAATGCAAAGCTCAAAGCTTTGCTCACAAATCTCTCAAGTATCACTCAAGAGTCTCTCAAATTATCTTACCTAGCCTCCACCCACAACTAATGAATATATAGAGGAGGTGGAATCTAAGGTTTAAGATTTTAGGAAACTCCTCAATGAATTTGAGCTTAACATTGAAGGAGGAAGCTCAACACCATGAATCCATGTTTTCAAAAGCTCCCCTTTTATATTGAAGAGACAATATCCTTAATTACCCTTTTATACTAGACGTCTTCCTGGAGCTAGTAGCCCCAACCTGGCACTTCTAGTGTCATGGAATAAAGGCTTCACATGAGTTGGGTGTTCCTGACGCCATGCCCATGCTAGTAGCGCGAGGGAAGTAAGGATGCTAGCACTAGATGCGCCATCATGGCGCTGATAGTACCACCAGGATGGTGAGCTTGGCGCTCATAATGCCATGTTGGCACTAAGAGCGTGGTAATAGAGAGAGCAACATGATGATAGTGCTAGTGGCGCTAGCTTGCTCGACAAATATTATTTCTTTTCCTTGTTTTTTTTGAGCTTTTTCTCCAACTTGAACTTCGTGCAATGGGCAAAAATTTCTATAAAAGCACAAGAATTTCACGAAAATGTTTTGAAGAGTGAATTAATAATGTAATCACAATTCTCATGTCTTTTGATTACATTTAGATTAATTGTATGCTTAATTTGATCTTAAATACATAACAAGTTAAAAATTAGTCAATAACTCAAAACAACATGGTTTTGAGATTTAAAATTAAAAGAAATAGTATTTTAATAAAATTTATAATGCAAGAGGAAAATAAAATTTTTAAAATATCTTTTATTTTTAATCCTAAATTCTAAAACATCGTGAGATTCGAAATTGTAGGAGATAAACGTCACTGGAAAAACACTTTTCCAAAAAAAATAACATTAGGTTAATAATAGACGTCAACAAATAAAGAAAATGGATAGGATATTGTAACAATCAATTAGTGTTATTATCAATTAATTTTACTGTTAGATCAATTATGTGGATCCAACAGTTATATTTATTTTTATTTTTGTATGGTTATAATTCTTCATAATTAATGTGAAAACATTAAATATGAGAAATCATAATAATACAAAAATAAAAATAAATATAAAGCATTAAATATAAGAAATCATAACTATATAAAAATAAAAATAAAAATAAATATAATTGTTGGATCAATATAATCAATCTAAAAATAAAATTGATTGATAAAATTAGTTGTTAGAATATGTTTCTCCAGCTTAAAAAGATTATGTTAATTAAGAACACTGGCGGAAAGACCGAAGTGAGAGAGTAGTTTAGTTTTGATTGCTCCATCCCAATCTTAAATTCATCTATTTCAATATTTTATTACTAAGTAACATTCCTCAGCATTCACAATCCTACCTTTAAAAAATGCTTGGAGCTGTTGCAGCTTCCACAACACTTCTAAGTTTTTCACCATCCACCTATCAAAGCAGAATTGTTGTTCACAGAAGAATCTCAAATTCAACACTGCCATTGAACCATGTCTACTGTTTCTCACTCTTATCAGCTAGCCCTATGCATTTCTCTTTCAGTAAGAGCAGTAGGGGACAACCCCATTTCTTTGCAGAAGCTGCTTCATCTTCATCTTCTGGTTAGATTCTGTGGTCACTATCATTTATTCTCAACTTTTTTTTTGCTTTTTCTTCAACCCCCACTTTTTAGTTCCAATTTTTATGCCTTATTATTTAGTTTATTTCTTCAACTTCTTGGAATGCAGTTGTTACTTTCTTGGAAAATTAAGCATGCAGGCTGGGGAATAAACTTTAATGGCAGTGCTGCATTTAAGTGGATTATTATATGCCATTGAATGTTAAGATTCATATTACTATAGAATATGTCTTTTTTTCTCTTCTCTTTTTCAAATGTTGAACTAAAGGTAAATTTAGGTCCCCTTTGGAACATGTTTTATAGAGAATAATACTTTTTGCATATTAAATTGGAGTGGTAACATGGTTATAGTGGGGTTTACTTTTGAGATGCGCTACAATCTTTTAACTTGCTTCTATGAACCTGTACTACAAATATTCACCTTTAAGAAGGCCAAGAAGAAAAAGGGAAAGGGGAAAGTAATGGAGATTCTGCTGTTAACTTTTTTTTTCTCTTACGTTAGTTTTTGGGCTAGTTGCTGACATTCCCAGAACAAAAGTTGGGTGAATTGTCCTCATTAGAAACAGGGACAAGGCTGTTACATTTACTTTTGTGAACTCTACATTCAAAAGTAATGACAAAAATAGCTGATCGTTGTGCAGATCGGGAAAGTTAAAGGCCATATAAAATATGCATAAGATATGAAGTTTCTTCAGTGGATGCTGTTTATTTTTTTTTTGGCGAATCTGAAAGCCTTTGAGATTCTCTAAAATAAAATACCTATACCTCTTATTTTATATTGCATCACTGAGTTTGTAGATCAAACAAGTAGAAAAAGTTAGGTAGCAGGAATATCTGGCCATTAAACATAAGTTCTTAGGCATGAAATTTCTTTTATATCTTTTGATGACACCGAAAACAAATTAAAGAATTTTTTGCATGTCATGTGGTATGACAACATCCTCTTAAACTTAGGCAAAGAGGGGATAGCAGCAATACTAGGTTTCACATTCAGGGTGCTTGTAAAATGTTTAAATTTTCATTAGGAGTCTCAAGTCTGTCAGCATGTACAGTTAAGTAAGACTTGATTCAAACTATCAAGATCAGTCACAATTAATTATGGTGTTACCTGGCATACTATTGGCTGCTTTTTCAGTAACAAGAGGATGGGTTTTTAATTGCCATAATTCTATTATAACAAAAGTTTTCCCAATCCAACTTTAAAGGCTGAGGTGTTTGTCTGGCTGAAATATTGGCAGGTTGTTTAGTAAGATGAGGATAATTTTTTGTTAATTCTTTTTGCCATGTTACTCTACTTAAGGTTAAGGGTTCCTATTCTTCTTTTTTTTACATCACTCCAACTTTTAAGACTGTTTCAGTACCTATTTTAGATTTCATTTGGGGTGATGCATTTTTTTTTTTTTGTATATATTTTTATTTTGTTATTATTTTTATTTTGTGGGGGTGGGGTTTTGATTCGTAAATATATTAATAATGTACGGTAGATGAAATAATACAGTATACTAGAAATCATTTTTTACATAATCTTCTTTCTTTTAGTGTGTCTTGCTAACTGATAATAAAAATTGACATCTATTTGGTTGTAATTGACCACAGCAGCTGCAAATGCTGACTACGTGGAGGAACCAGCAACAAGTGTGGAATTTCAGACATCTTTGAGTTTCCCGGGTTGCTCAGATTCATTAGTTTTGTTTGGAACTGGTTAGTTGTTATAGTATCACGTGGCTTTTGGAAGAGAGGAAGATAAAAATGCTCTGAGCATGTGAAAAAAGATTAACATGACTATAATTATAACTTGATCTGTTAATACTAATGTGAATATGCTGAACAGGATTAATGTTGTATATCTTTTGCTTTAGATACTTTCTTCAGGACAATGTATTCTTGTAAATGGGTAAACTAAATGGTTTGATATCATGCTGATCTTACTTTCCTGGACATGAACTTTTAATTATAATCCTTTGCACTGCAAAGTGAAATGTATGTATCATTCAGTAATTACAGGCAAACTGATGACATTTGGAAAATATATGGTTAACAATTGATTTTCGCATAAAACATTGATTTCACTGAGGTTAGCTGTGAGGAACTAACTTCTTTTATAGCCCATTTGTGGAATTAAATATATCATTAAATTTGTAAATAGTTGCATGGGAAAATCAAACTAGTAAAACTATGAACTTGAATTTTTTTGATTGTAATGGTTTTCTGTCTGTATTGTATTGTGAATCTTTTCTTTTTTGGCCCATAATTGTTGCTATTCTGAAGAGCAGTAGAATGTATTAAGTGTCAATAAAGTAGCAATGTTATCTTTCTCAGTGTTATAAGCTTTGGTGGATAATAACGTATTTCAGGATACAGAGAGAAAGTTTTTGCAATTATTGGCGTCAAGGTCTATGCTGCAGGTCTGTATCTAAATCAATCTATCACAAGTGAGTTGAATGCTTGGAAAGGGCAATCAAAAGAAGTGTTTCAAGGGGATTCTTTCTTGTTCAAAACCATTTTCCAATGTAACAACTTTCTATTTGTTTATTTCTTTCTACAATGTTCTCAGAGAGTTATAATCACAGATAGATTTAGAGAATAAGTTGATAAACATATGCATTTACTTGATTGCAGCTTCCCTTGAGAAATTATTGCAAATTATTCTTGTCAGAGACGTTGATGGTAAAACTTTCTGGGATGCATTAAGTGATGCCATTTCACCAAGAATTGCAGAACCCACAACTGCAGATGAAACTGCTTTGACCACTTTCCGTGGTGTTTTTCTAGATCGTCCTCTCAAGAAAGGGACTTTCATATTTTTGACATGGTTGAACCCCACCAGATTGCTTGTAAGTTTGTTTTTTGTTTATATTTCGTATAAATTCCCGAATTTTTCTTTGAGATTTTTTCTTCAGACAATTGAGATCATTGATGTCTATTATTTCTCCTCTTTATCTTTGCTATCTTACAAGAAAATATTCCAACTAAATTTATTGTGATTTCAGGTTTCTGTCTCCTCAGATGGGCTTCCTTCTACTGTGGATGCTACAATCGAATCTGCAAATGTGACTTCTGCTCTTTTTGATGTATTCCTTGGAGATAGTCCGGTTTCTCCATCCTTGAAAGCTTCAGTAGCTGAAGGCTTGTCAAAAGCACTCAAGTAAAAAATGTTTAGAGTCTCTTTTGAAAATTTCATGCATCCATGTTTTCTTGAAATGGTTCAATCTATGAAGTACTGCTGCAGTCTATTTTCTCCTAGTGTCTATGTAAGCAGGCTCCGTGGTCTACTTATGCGTATGCGTCATGTACAATTGGAAGTTGTCACTTGATTTCAGTAACTATTTTCTAGTGATCTATAATATTTGATTTAGCCATTAATATACACTTTTGCATGCAAAGTTGACCAATTCTATGAACTATTTCTCTTAGAAAGAAACACTTCTATAGTATCACTTCATACATGTGCTACTCTAAACTACATCTACTTTGTCATAGTCCTGGCGTATTCAACTGGGTTGATTGGAATTCATCATGTCACGTTCTATGAAGCACCGACTCCGACACAGCATTTTCGATACGTTCTCGATACGACCGTTAATTCGTCGATACGATACAATACGTTTCCGATACGCGTATCGAATACGTTGAAAAAAAAAATTCGGAGTATCAGTGCTTCATAGGTCACATTGCATATTAAAGTCTCCCTGTCCCTGTATAAATACTAAAATTTTTGTTGAATCTTGTATCTCAAGACCCCTAATTTTTTTTTCTTTCAAAATTCAATATTTTACCGTACATTTTTTAATTTTTCTTTTCTCTCCTTAAATTTTTTCTCCCTCTTAAGCACGGCCTCCTATACAATGGGCGTGACTCTATTATAAATCTACATGATGGGTCTGATTCTTCCCTAGAACCTATGCATAGCTGGAGCTTTACAGCACCGGGTTGCACTCATTCTCATTCTCTTGAGCATGGGTCTACCTCTTCCGCTGCTGGTAGGATGGTGTTTCCATTAAGTGAACATCAAGATGCAGAAACAAGTTTGTCTGGTTCTGTTTGCTCAAGCAAGTTGACAACCTCAGCCATGGTTGGCCTATTCAAGGGATCTTGTTCAAGGCACATCATTGCAATGTTGAACATCTTGTTGACCTCTTGCATTGGGCAAGACCCTAAGCTATTATCAAGAACTAACTCCTCCTTCTTCTCTTGAACAACACCCTTCACCTGTTCCAAAAACAAGAGAATGATTTTCAAGAAAGTAAGTCCACATTCCAAAGCTGTGTCCAGTGAAGTAATTTGAGATTTGAGCTAAATAATCTTTTTCTATTTTAACTCTCTAGTAGCTGTCATAAAATCTTAATATTGTTCCATTTTAATTGTCAATGGAATGTACTTTATAAATATATGGGAGTGAAGGCATGAGTAAAAGCTGAGTAAAATGAACTGCATGCCAATCCAGCTCTTTGGATTTTATGCTTTCAACTGCACAATAGATTAATTCAATTCATATTTGAGGTCGATGCTTCAGTGTTCAATCCATATAATTTCTCATTTTAAAATTCAAATAGAATGGTATGCGTTGTTCTGGCTTTCCAACCATGTCTTTATGAAAGCAATTTCACAATGCTAGAGCTCAAAGTAAATATGATACTTAACTTGATTAAAAAATGAGTTATATAGGTTATTGATTCAAAATTGTCTGATGAATATAATCGAAGAAGGCAATCTCCAAGAATTCCTATCTTACCCATGTGACAAGCTTGGTTCCCTCTTCCATAAATGCTTCATCACTGGGTTTTTTCCCAGTTAAAAGCTCCAGTAACACAACTCCAAAGCTGTAAACATCCCCTTTGACTGTTGCTCTTCCTGTATCAAAATATTCTGCATGCAAACACTCATCACTTTGTAAGACAAGTAGTAGTGTGAAAGGGAAAAACTGTGTTTAGCCAGGTTGTATCTATACCAGGTGCCAAGTATCCAAAAGTTCCAGCCACAACTGTTGAAACATGAGTTTTATTTGGTTCCATCAACGTGGCTAATCCAAAATCAGAAACTCGGGCCTCCATATTTTGATCCAGCAATATATTACTTGACTTGATGTCTCTGTGGATAATGTGAGGGATGCAATCGTGGTGAAGATATGATACTCCTCTAGCAGCACCTAAAGCTATTTTGTACCTGGTTGGCCAATCCAAAACCTTCTTGTCCATTGATCTCCCTGCATATCTTACAACTTTGCAATTAGAAAACTTAGTTCAATTTTCATTTGATCAAATTCTAGTAATCTTGGACATAACAGTAGAAACTTTCATATCCATTCTCAATAACAAAAGAAGTTCATCATTTCATCCTACTCTAAATTTTTTCATTAGGTACACTTGGTTAGAGCAACAATGGGAAGAAAAGAAAGTCAGCAGCAAAAACTATAATACATCAAAATATATGTAATGTCTATTTACTTTGCAGATTTTAATGATTTCCTTCCATTTCCTCCACCTAACGGGAATTCTTAGAATATAATGTTAGAAACTAACAAATACATACCATGCAAAAAGGAATCCAAACTTCCATTGGGCATCAGCTCATATATGAGAAGATTGTAGTGTGGGGCAGTGCAATATCCATAAAGAGTCACAATGTTGCGGTGTTTTATGTCTGCCATTGCTTCCAACTCTCTCTCAAAACCTTTATCCCTGTCTGCAGTTCCACGGTTTAGCCTTTTCACAGCAAAGGCTGTGGAGTCATTTAGTTTTAGTTCATAAACTACACCATAACCACCAGACCCAATGATGTCCTTGTTGTTCAGCTTCTGTGTCTTCTTTAAGACCACATCAGATGCGAGAGATTTAAGCACTGAAGACCTAAATATTACCATCTTCCCTCCTGTATCATAATCAATGCATGTTAGTGTATCATATAATCAATGTATGTTAGTACGTCTTATTTTCTATATGCAAGAACATAAGTCCTTCATACCTGGATAACCTTCTTCATAAATCAAGTGCTTTCTTCTCCATCTTTTATAGAGGAGGGCCGAGATGAAAATCTTTGATATCACAAAAGCAATGAAGCATATGGTTATGGAAAAGGCTATAACCAGGGAATTCCTCATTTGGTGCTATAATCTAATGGTGAAATTTTAAGAACCTGAAGACACAGTAAGTTAAAATAAGGAATGAATTTCCATGGATTAGCTAAGGACTTCTCATTATATAAACTTGCAGAATCTGGAATATGAGGACAATTTGAAAGATTGCTGCATGAAATGTACAAAACTAGCAATTTTTTTCTTTCTTAAATAAAGTTCATGTAAAGTAAGAAGGAAGAAATCTCACTGTAATTCTGTGTGTTGTATTTTGTAATATTCTGGTTTCTGAGAAGAAATCACTTCAAATCTCTAATTTCTGGTATCCATGAATGCTTCTGATCAGGAACATAGATGCCATCTTCAAACACTGGATTGGTACAAAAGTTCTGCAAACTTGTTGACTTTAACTGTTCAGAACTTCGCTTTCAACAATGCTCTCATGAACTCAAATTGTCAAATTATTCAGAGGTTAACACTAATTTAAAAAACGAGCATGGAAAGTTCAGAATCATTGTCTTGTTGAAACCATATTACATCCCGCAATGAGTGGAGCCTAAATTTATGACCAAGAAGAAAAGATCACTAAAGATGATGATAAGAAGAAAAATAGAAGATGTACAAGCAACTTTTAGAAAATATGGTACCTCTGTAATCATGAATAGTTAGACATGAGTCATGAGTAAGGCTTACCTTATTTTTTGTCTGTCCATCATAGCGTACTTATTTCTGTTCAAATAAACTATCATGGACCCAAAGGTTGTGACACGCATACCCATTTAGCATGTTTTTAATGAAAGAGTAGGTTGGTGAATGGATAAAACTTGTCAAAAATGTCTATCTAGCTGTTTCATGTGTTAAAACACTTGGACTTTTTGTGGTATCATCAAAGTCATACATTTATAAAGCTGGCAATGAAATTTTTTCTTTACCAATGTGAAAGGATTTTCATTTTGCCATATCCTTACTAGATTACTTTAATTATAATATGGGAATGTTCCCAGCTATTAAAGTATAAAAGAGAAAAAAAGAAGAAAAAGACAAAAAAAAGTAGGCAAAGCTGGTGTGCTACAAAGCTGGTGAAAGTTTTATGACATGTAATGATCATGTGAATTGCTATGCTGTCACCATTTTTTCTTCACCACCTGTCCTTGTTCCACTAAATTTGGAGGTTGGGAATTCATTAAGCCAACGAGATACTCATTATTGGAAAAGAGAGGAATGGATGGGCACTTCTGAAAATGACTGACATATGAGCTTGTAAGACTTCCACCAACCTATATTGTTATTTTGATTAGGAAGTTTTCTAGCGTAGTTTAATAATGTGTAATATTAAGCTTCTATACGTTGTAGCTAAGGTCACAAAAGATTCATGTCGGTGGTCTGAATAAAAACATTATAAAACAATTAGTTTTAAATAATAATTCTTACTGTGACATAAAGTTTATTTGAGTGAACATATATTTAAGGAAGGATTTAATCGAGTAATAATTACATATTTAAACTATAATAACAATTCTTAACATATATAAACAAAAATATGAAATCAAACCACAAATGAAAGTTAAAGTATACCTATAATCATTGCCTTTATAATTTATAGTATGTAAGTGGGCCTGGATATATTACTTCATCTGGCTGAAAGTGATTATTTACATAAATATAATTCTATTGGAATATAGTTTTTCTTGGATGCTGAAACATTCTCGTCTCGAGCCGGTTTAATTAATATACATATGATACTAAACAGAAACAGTGAAAGACTTAACTTATGAAAATACAAGCTAACTTTTTCTTTTTCTTTAGTCCTTTTTCACATGATATATCACATTGCATACTTTTCTTAGTTTAATTCTTATTTGACGAAGATGAAAACAAGACAGAGTAACCTCTGTAAATCGGACAACTAGGGATTTGCAAATCTCACTCTCAAGGTATCCTGATAAACAGTTTATATAATATATGATTTCTGCACTACCAGATATCCATATAGGACCATATACCCATCCATGGGCACATGCATAATTTGGTTTCGTGCCACTAAGTCTAACAGTATGCATATCAAACAGGTAATCATGTAACTGAATACTACATCATAAAATAGACATGCCTGAATACCCAGATGTATATGCATCAAAGCGAAAAAAATGTACAAAACATATACAGGCCATATACAGAATAACGGATCAGACATCATGATCCTCAAAACGAATGGAATACTGAAACACATAAACAATCCTAAAAATAATAGTAGCATACTGCTACCCAAAATCTAGTCCACAAACCACTCTATCCACGGGTCGTATCTCTGCCCCGTGAAGGCTCCTCGCCAATCTGTGCACCTGAAATAATGTCCCCAAACGGGGTAAGATAACAAATCTCAGTAAGCTGGAGGTTTATAGAGAATTCTCCATACCCCTGGGCCCACTCCTGCATGAAAGTCAGATACCGAGTATACAAAGCATCATATAACAGATATCAGATTGAACAAAACATATATACATATCATATCAGAGGCGTACGCAGTCATTCCCAAGGGAGGATCCCAAGCAGAAATCAACGCTCGTGTTGCCAAGGGAGGACCCCAAGTGAAACCAAAACATATCAGAGGTGTACACGGTCAGTCCCGAGGGAGGACCCCAAACAGACATCAGTGCACAAACAAATCAATGGCCAAAGATCAATACATAAATCACATCAGAACAAATCATATCATGTTATCAAATAGCTCTATGTGAATGCATCTATACAAAACATCAAATATAATCATACAATCCAACCATAGTTCACTAACCATGGTGGAGCACTAAAGCATGAAAAGACTCCTTAAACATAGAGCTTACCCTCTGAAGCTTTACCAATTTGCTCACTTGTAACACAAGTTACCTATTTAGCTCCAAAAGAATCCAAAGACGTTCAGTCCCTAGTCACACGTAGAGAAAGAATCCAAAACAAAACTCAATAAAATGCTTCAATCACATGTAATTACAAGACATACACTTTATTGTTTACTTTCATTTCTTTACATTTATGCCAATACTATGCCAATACACAAGTCAAGACCATACTTTCACAAATTCCTTTATTAGACCATTTTAAGGATAATTACATGAACCACAAGAACCCTCATGGTTTCATACTCACATGGGGTCTTAAAATGACTCAACCAAGCTTCTAAAATACCATTTTATAATTTTTAACATTTCATAGCCCCACAAAGCAAGCTGACAACAAAGGGAAGCTAGGGATTTTGCATCAATTCCATTGACACAACCAATAGTTCCTAGAACCCTCACTTGACTCCTAAGTTAACTAGGTATACTCTAAATAATTTTAAACATAATTCATGCCCATTTTTCTTCACAAAGCCATGGGGCACACCTATAGGTAACCAAAACATTTTTCACCATTTCATAAGTCATTTCGTTTCATAACCATACCAATGAACCACATTGGAGTGCTAACACATCATCAAAATAAAATTTACGCAATCATCCCCCATTGGAATCATGATGGTCGAAATGTAATGTGGTATTTTCCAAGGGATTTTCTTTTTGTAATCTCAATTTCACACTTAATTTACAACTTACACTAACATAACAACCTTCACAAACCAATCAATTAAATTTTGCACATAGAACCCTTACAAACCCACCATGGCCGAACCTAGTGGGGAGGGAATACAAGGGACTTTTTCAAATTTTCAACTCATCATCATGCTTGTTTAACACTATAACATTCCTAAAACACACTAATACTTCATAAATTTCAAGTTTCAAACTTCATAATTTCTCGACAAAATATGTTCATAATATTCAAAACTTAAATCATGACATATAAACCATTAGAATGAGGAACTCTTACCTCAAATCACCTCTACAAGGCTTGGAGAACAAAACCCAAGCTTGGTTCCACTCAAAAATCAACTTCTCCCACTAGGATGAATAGTGACTGAATTTTGAGAAGAAGAGAGCTCTTCACACAAGCCTTTTCAGCCCAAACAAATAGGTGGAATGGATTCCTTGGATAATTTACTATCAATTTCGTGTAATAGACTTTTGCATTTGGATGATTGTGTAATGAAAAATCAAAGAAAAAAGAAAAGAAAAACCTAAGCTCCTTCAATGGTGGAACTCGGCCAGGAGAGAGAGAAGATGGATTTGCTGAAATGAATAGTGACCAAGTGGAAAGAACTTAAGTTATAATGATGTGCAGTCTTTTAGCGGTTGTTTTTCGCTCACTTAATTTCACTTAAATTGACCCGGAACTAAATTTAAAGCTACATATATATTTTTATTTTTCTGAACTCATTTACATTAGTTTTTATTCCCTAAGGAGTAAGGAACAATATTCATAATTCATAGTATGGTTTCTGCACCGTTTTTGACGAAATGCACTGTGAATCATTAACTGTGCACTGTTTGCATACGAAACTTAAACTTATCTTCTTGGGTCTATCATGACTTGTTTGGCATATATTGAACTTTCTTATTCTTATTTCATCAATTTTTTAGTTCTGGACTCTACTGATTGCTTAAACAGCGGTACAAAATACCCGTCACAAAAATACTATTCATGAGATTTTCACGAAAAGTGCCAGACTATACAATTTTTTGTTTTGACCTCATATTTGGCATCAGAATTGCCAAATTATATCTCTAAATTTATTTTGCTCATTTTAAGCTCTACTGGTTGATTTACAACAATGCAGATCATCCGGCAGAAAGCACTGTTCATGACCTAGTCATGATTACAGTCAAAATACTCAAAATCACGTTCTAAGTCTAATTATAGCATTTAAATCTTTAAATTAAATCTCTAATTAAGATTTACCAGTTAAGGTCATTATACATGCACATATAAAAAGTGGGTGATATTCATTTGTTTTTCCTCTCTTTTTTTCTTAATGAACCCACCTATTTTTCTATGTGTGAATGAGATAATTTTTGTTCATGTAATATAAGAAACTATATTCCCTAATTCCATAGATAGACTATTAGCATCGTTTTGAAGTCCTCGTGTGAATA